TCCAAAATATAACAATGCATGATATTATTATACAGAAATTATGATACCTACAAAGACAGGGGGCGCCTCTTCTTCTCCATCTTCCTTCCAAAACTTTACTTTACGGAAAAATATTTCTGCACTTGCTTTTTGTACTTCACCCCGATCTTCAATAAACAGAATTCTTATCAATCGGCAGAATCCTATATAATCTCTAATTCACTTCTTAAACTCTAAACTAAAACCCTATGTCTATTCGATAATTATGTTAAAAAACACTAATTAAATGCATAACCTATTGCATTATCGAATTTATATCAAATGAATTTCACTTGGAATCGAAACACCTGATGCTGGAAGATCAAATGCAAGGAAATTGTGAATTATATCGGTACAGAAGTGAGTTGTTATAGATTAATTAATTACCAGAAATAATTGAGATCTGCCAAGTAAAAGGACATGCAGCAACAGATCGGTGAAGAAAACAAGGGAGAAAAGAGAAAGAGAGGACTTACAATCGCGAAATACAATATTGTCGCCTCGCTGTGAGAGCACGAAGAATTGAGAGATCATGATTTTTTTTTTTTTTTTAAAGCCCGATTGATTTGTTTCTGCAGTTTTGCAAACTATTTCAAGTTCAGGTCCCAATTTGTTTTTGTTGGCTTCGACTGTTTGCTTCACAAATTTAACCGGACGTTTGTCCTGTTCGTTCCACCTCGTTCCACTTCGGCCCTTATAAAACTCCGGAAATGACCGTTTGAACCAACGCACCTTTTTTCCCCCAATTTTTAAACAAAGCAAGTGCCGTTCTTAAATAGCTTTCGGTAAATATCCTAACATACGCTAATTTTTCAATCGATCCTTAAATTTTAAATCACTTTAAATCTATCCTAATTATTTAAGATGATTTTCAATCTATCTTTTAGATCAAACCATTCAAAAATATCACATGACTTACACATAATTTTCTTTTATAAAAATACCCCTTGTAGTTTAATATGTGAAGTTTCTAATACATTCTTATATAATTGGTTGAATTTTGAATTTATCTTTAATATTAAAAAATTCATTATATTATTGTTAATAATTTTTCTAATCATTTGTTACGCTATAGTGAATTTTTTTCAATTAAAAATAATGGGTTACACTATATTGGATTTTTTGTTAATTATATACACACACACACACTTAATACAAGTTAGTATGTAATTTTTTAAGAAATTAAAAAATAAATAATTACATTTAATTAATTATTAATTAGTATATTAAACATGTAATTAAAAAATAATTATATTTAAGTGACTGTTAATTAGTCTCTTAAATATGAAATTAAAAAACATACAATTACATGTTTTCTTTATTACGCGATTATTTGTTTTTTGCACGCGATTCACATGTTTTCTTTTATGAAGATAATTTAATATATTGATAAATATTATATCAATTTGTTTAATACTATACATAAGTGAATTATGGCAATATAATGAACTTTTTATTAATAAAATATGTTAAATGATAATTTTTTGAACAATTACATAATAACTTTTGCTAATTATTTTTATATTTTTTTAATTAACATAAAACGTGCAAAACATTATGAGGAAAATTAATAACAATAATATAATGAACTTTTTATCATTAACGACGGATTGAAAACTTAAACTATTAAATAAAGATAGATTAAAAACTTAACATGTTAAGTCGCAAGGAGCAATTTTGTTGAAGTAAAGGTCATGCGACATTTTCGAGTGGTTTGATCGAAAAAATTGATCATAATGACAAATTAGAAACTAATTCAAACAACAAAGACATATTAGAAGGGTTTTAAAACTTAGAGACAGATTGAAAGATTGACATTTTATATAAGGATAGATGAGGATAATAACCCTAGTTTTTATTTTTTGTTCTGCCCTTCATACATCATTATTCGAAAATCCTCATTTAAGAGCTTGTAATTATGTTGAATAAATAAATTAAATTTTGTATAACTAATTTGATAAATTTGACACTATATTTGTTAAATTCAGACAATTCAATCCAATTGTTTTTAATTTTTAATAAACGTTTAAAAACTTGTTGATGCAAAAAATATTAGCCATGTGCTATACAATTTCAATTAACATATATGTACCTTAATATAGAAAAACATAATTAAAAAAAATATATATATAAAATAAATGTAGGGTCCACACACGATTCTCTTGTAATCTTATATTGTATATTTTAGAAAAATAGAAAGAGAAGAAACCTAATTTTCCTTTCTAATGTTTGTTAAGAATCAAATGTTATTAAATCAAATTGTCTATATTTAAAAAGATAAATATATCCATTTGTTTTTATATAATACTTAATGTCTTCTATTTATCATAAATTTTCAATTGCATCTCATTTGTTTTTGAAAATTTTTTAAAGTGTTCAATCTATACTTCCGATCAAATTTTCAAATTATCAATTTTTTTGGACCGAAATGCCCTTTACTAAAATGCAAAAAAATAAAAATAAAAATGAAAAAAAAAACAATTAAAGTCACGTGATCTAAATGTTCTATTTTTGAAGTCTTTAGGATTTTATTTTATTTTTTCACATTTTAATTAGGATCATTTTTTGATCGAAAAATTAGGTCCGAATGATTTATTAAATATTTCAAACACATTCGGTGACATGTGTGATGCAATTAGAAATTTAGAGACAAAAGAGAGACATTAAGTGTTATATAAAGACAAATAGATGTGTTTACCCTATTTAGGTTGAATTCATCAAATTATTTGTACTGGAGTTAATTTGTCGATTTGATATAAACACAAATATCAAAAGATGGTTTTTCCATCATTGTTCATCCAACCAAAAAAATAATAATAGCATATGTGGTGAGTGAATTTTATGAAAAAAAATCCTATCCCTTGTTCTTATTACGCATAAAATTTATTGAAAAAGAGATTTTGGAAACAAATGAAATATATATATAAGTTCTCATTACCTCATATTAGGTCATATTTGTTAATCCAACCAGGAATTTCAAAATGAGCAAATATAATTTTAGCACATATTAGGAGAAAAAAAATCATCGCTACTTAATATTAATTTATTCCACTTAATTAGGTCCTTTAATTTAAAATAAATGGTGAGAATTGTGAAATAAAGAAGGTAACCAGTCTTGTTTCTATTCGAGCATAAAAGAATCCAAAACCCCATCAGGATATTGTCCCAAGTCTTGATGTTCTCATTACAATTAGCCATTTTGCAAGACTTTTGCAAAAGCTAACATTTAATTCTCGCAGTCAGGTATGTCAATGGGTAGATACCTGATCCATTAATTTAAATTTTTTACTATACTCATAAAAAAAATATCTTATTCATTATCCATTAAAAAATCATCATATAAATCTTTACTCAAGTACATACCTTACCTATATTAGTTTATCCACCTATCTAGTACCTATTTAACAACAACTAAAAATAACTTGTCAAAAATATTTATTTTAATTCTTTTCAATTTTTGGACTAAAACTTGCGTTTATGTTCAAAGTTTGATTTTGCGTTTTTGAAAGGATGACGAGAATTATTTCCATCTCTCAATCCAAAATCCTATGTCTGTGTCTGAATCGTGGTTTTGTGCTATTGGAAGGTTGGCAAGGCTTATTTTTGTTTCTCGATCCAAAATCATACGATTGAGTCTAAATTGTTGTTTCGTGCATGTGAGAGTATGGCGTGGCTTATTTCAAATTTTCGGACAAAAATCATATGTTTTTGTCCAAATTGTGTTTACGTGCTTTTTGAAGGAGGGTGAGCCTTATTTTTTATTCTTAGACCAAAATCCCATGTTTGCATTCAATTGTGATTTAATGCTCCCAAATCTATGCTTCTAGAAGGATGGTAAGACATATGTCTAAATCCCATACGAAAATCCTACGTTTGTTTCTAAATTGTAATTTTGCGCTTTTGAGACGATGGCAAGCCTTGTTTTTAGTTTTTAGATCAAAATTTTATGTTTATGTCCAAATTGTGCTTTCACTTTTTTGGAAGGACGACAAGCCTTTTTTTCGATTCCTGAACCAAAATCTTATGTTTGTATCCAAATTATGCTTCCGTGCTTTTTGTGACAATTGCAAGCTTTTTTTCAATCTCATACCAAAATCATATGTTTTGTGTCCAAATTATGATTTAGTGCTTCCAAATTTGAGCTTTTTGGAGGATGGCAAGACATATTTTTAATTTTCATACTAAAATCTTATATTTGTGTCCAAATTGTGTTTTTTTGCTTTTGGGAGGATGATGATCTTTTTTTCCAATTGTTAGATGAAAATTTTACATTTGTGTTCAAATTGAGATTTCGTGCTTTTGAAAGGATGGCGATCATTATTTTTATCTCTCTATCCATAATTTTATGTCTGTGTTCAAATTGTGATTTCGCGTTTATGGGAGGTTGGCAAGGCTTATTTTTGTTTCTTGATTCAAAATTCTACGTTTGTGTGCAAATTATTGTTTCACGCAAGTGGGAGTATGGCGTGGCTTATTTTCATTTTTTTGGACAAATATCATATGTTTTTGGTCCTTCAAATTTATGATTTTTTACATTGGGATAATTTATTTATAAGTTTTTTAGTTCTCAAAGTTTTTGAAAAAATTCTTTGGTTCTTATTTTTTAAAGTTTATACAACTAAATCCCTGAATGTTAATAAATAAATATTAATAAGGTAAAAAATAAATATTCATAGCTTAAAATTATATTAGTAAATATGTATTTTTTTTACTATTACTCGTTTCAATATCCATTAATATTTATTAATATGTATTTATTGAACCATTTTATACCCGACAATTTGCCATACAACTTGCAGCTGAGAAATAAATTAAATTTATTTCTGATTAGTCGAACAAGTTGTCCCAAGTATCAATGTAGTGTTTATCAAATGATACGTATTTACACTAATATCTACTTGCTGGCTGGTTCCATTATATATAAATCTAACATCAGCAGACACCAGTCTGTGCCTGTGTGGGATGACGAAATATGCAAATGACTAACACCACAACGCTTTATCTTTGACTGAGAAATTGCTTCCACAGCGAACCTCGCTTTCTTTGAAATCAAGGGTCCAAATCTCAAACGTGCAATCCAAAAAATCATAGTATCCTCCATGAAGAGAAAGTAACCCTCTCCTCACCCGGTCTTCAATCCACGGATATGTTAGCAAGTTCAGTAGTGAACAATTGATTGATTCCTGTAACAATTTGAACAAGGATCATTTTAATGGAAACCGAGATAAAATTAACTACCTAATTTTAAGGTGAAATACCAAGCAACCATTATAGATAATTCTTATCTACTACTTTTTCCTCCTTATGTTTTTCCATAGACTCGATTGAAGTGATGAACTATGCCTGATAACGAGATAATATTTCAAAGGTCTAGGATTGCAGTCAAGATTCACCCAAGTAAGCTCATTTGATCAAATCTTGTGGGAAAATGGATTTTAAAGTTGCTGGAAAACTGGGAAACTGGGACCTGTTGTAAGGCTATCTGATAGGGCAGTTAGAATTCTGTGCTATCATGGAAGTGCCGATAAAGAGCATACCTTCTCGCAATGTTTGCATTGTTGATCAAAGCTAAGGTGAATTGCATATCCTTTCGTTCTTAACTTTGCAACTTTTGCATTAGCAACCCACTTCTCGATGAAGCTGCAAGACACAAATTTTGAAAGTTGAAAAATATTCTCGAGATATTTTAAGAAAAAGGATCAGGAGTTCATCATCAGGAGAAAGAACAAGAGTAGTTAAACCAGGAGTTCTCATCATCTTGCATGGTCATTAGAGTTTGAATTCCTGCACAGCTACTATGGCCAATGACAAATATATTTTGCACCTGCAGGGTGCATCAGCGACTTTGCATATTCAAATGTAAGTACATTTCCAGAAAAATATGAAACAGAAAATACTACGTAGACGATGGCCTAAACACTTACTTCAAGAGTATTTACAGCAAATTCAAGCGCAGCATTAGTTTCTGTCGGTCCATTCTGTGCAGAACGAAAAATTAACCCAGTTAAACATGCTAGGCAATATTGAAGTTAAGCTCAGTTGAACTTACCTCAAGAGGGGGAACAAGATTTGCAACATTTCGAACCATAAAAACTTCTCCAGGTTGAAATCCAAGGATGTTAGAGGGGCATACCCTAGAGTCCACGCAAGCAATCACCATAAACTGTTCAATTTGTCAGTTTGAAAATAACTGCATAGCTTCTAATTGCATTAAAGAACAGCAAACAGCAGAAACATCAAAAAATCTAATTCAAACAATTTGTTTAACACCTTTGGTGATTGCGCTTCAGCAAGAATTTTGAAATGCTCTACTTCTCTCCTGTTCAACAGCACAGGACAATGAAATGATGAAAAAGTACACGCACTTTATCAAAACCTTAACATTACTCATTGCTTGTTATCTGATACTAACAGATATTTGTGCTTCTTGAAACTCAGAAACCTCTGTTTCATCACATCAAAGAAGTCCACCCCACCATCGGTTTTGGACATATTCTGTACAGTAACGCTTCTAAGTTCTTGTGCAAGTCCTGTAGAACTGATCGGAGCATCCAATTTCAGAACTGAGCTCTCCCTGAAAATGAAGAAAAAAGTTAATCGAAATAGCAAAGTATGCGCCATACATGTTGGAATCTAAAGTAACAAACACGGCACAGTTTATCCAAGGAACTTGAGGCATCACTCACTTTAGTGTCCCAGCAAAAGTTACAATTCCTTAATCTGCTATCAATAAATTGAGGGTCTCTTTACTCTTCAAGTTGTACATATTCTTCAAAATGTCATAAGATTAATCTGATCATGAATGAATACCGTCAACATTCAACAGCTTTGTGCTCATGCATATGTTGTTTCATAAAAAATCCCATTTCAAAGCAAAACCACCGGAAATCAATGTCAACAACCAGGGCGAAACTAATCCTACCATTTGGTGGGGTAGAAAAGATGGGAAAATGAACAAACAATTATTTTGATATGTGATAGTGTGGAGGAGCAGGTCCAAATGAGTTTAAATCCCGGTTGAAATAAACAAGTGAAACACCTAACAGAATAATTAAGATTCTTTCCTGGCATTTGTAGAAAGCTGACAATTTTTTCTTTTTTTCTTTTTATATCTGACAAGTTGTCTACTAAAAGCTTAATCTAAATAATTGAAGCAAAAAAAAAAAAAAAAAAAAACCAGTCCCAACTAAAACACCTCGTGAAACTTCAGAAACTTGGGTTTCATTTCTAATTTTAAGTTAATTAATAGGCCCAGTCATTGTTATATTCATTATTTAGATAACAGAAACAATTTCATTCAACTTTCAGTAAATTTCCTGATTCATATATACTGATAGGTAGGTAAAAATATATTAAACACTTAATTAAGTAGTGGGTAACCAAGACATTAAATCAATAATAGATGAGAAAATCATTAATTTCTATCAATCGCCATCCTGAATAAGTACATGCATGAACTTACTTAAGTGAAGGTGATAAACGCAACCAAGTATGCTCAACTCTCCGCAGCTTCTCCTAAAAAACGAAAAAAAAATGTCAGAGAACAAGAAAACTGGTATCCTTGATCGTCAAAGATTTAGCACATAAATAACCAAGTATATAAGTAGAGGCTGAGAGAAAAGAGCTTACTGTTCTCAAACTTGGCCAATTTTTGTGCAAGCCCGTGAATGAATTGGTGATAGCTGAAAGGGGTGAGAACTGAAAGGGGTCCCCTTTGACTGAAAAAGGCCTCAGAGCAGCCATAGTTGTAATAATGGAACGAGTTTTTGAACCTGTAATTCGAGAGCAGAGGAATTACAAAGATTAGACATTTGGAAATCACTATAGGAGTTTGGAAAATGCTACATGACTACGAATTTATGCTTACAGATTCTCCAGACCATCTCTCTTCCCGCCTTTGTCTTTGGCAAGTCTTTACCTGTATACTTGTTATTTTTGTCTCCTGCACTTCAATTGTCAACCTTGGATTCGTATCCATGAATAAGTAAATTCTTTAGAGGGGAAGGAAGGCACACACGGCACTCTTATCCAAATTGAAAAATATCATATGGCTATCCAACTTTATGGGATACTGAAAAGCAAGCTTGGGTCCCTCAGAAGGGCTAAGGAAAAAAAAATGGAGAGAGATAAAAAGAAAGTCTGAAAACTACTTGGGAGGATATACAGCTTTACATGCATCCATATCCACTTCATCCATTATTGTTTCCAGCTAGCTATCACCCCTGGCAACACGTTAACTAGGTCTAATCTTTTAAGAAGTGGTATCCCTCTCCAACTTATTAATCCTCGCGAAACCGGCCCCGATCTAAGAATATGGTCCCATCCCGTTTAGGCAACAAAAGCTTTATTCAACAGAGATTGTCTCATGGTTCCAAACGCCAACTTATTAAGTCATCCCCTCTCCATAAAGGAAAAATTAAAATCCTTTTTTTTTTTTTTCATAAAAACAAACAAACAAAACTAGACATTAATGAAGGATTACATCTGTTCCCTATAGAGAATTAACACGGTTTACCTTATTAACATGCAGTGGAGGAGCTAAAATTTTTAAGAAAGTTCTAAACAAAATTACATGAATAAAATCGTTTATATGATTTCACAAGAAAAAAAAAAAAAAAGCACTAAAAGAATTTATTTCACATAAAAATACGAAGAGATCTTCTTAATGCTAGACGTTCATAAAAATTATATTAAGAAGTAATAAAACTTGATAGCGTTCTTATTAAATTCTCTTTATTATTACAAGTATCTTAATCGATTTGTATCCAGCGTTTTTTCATCACACAAAACTCATCAATTTTGTAATCGTATATCAAAATTTTCAACAACCTTTTTTTTTTTTTTTACATATAGGATATAAATAGTTGAGATAATTTCTTGATTATGCAAATCATTGGCATAATTATAAAGTTGATTCTTTTTGTAATTCAGAATGTTGTCAAGTTTAAAATACGTCAATTGGTGGTAATGCAATTTTTTGCTTTGTAAAAATCATGAATGCCTTTTTCTTTTCTTTTTTTTTTCAAATTTGCAAATACATCAATATTCTGATTAAACAACTAATCCACACACATATATAATTATATAATTAGATTTTTTTTCCTTCCTTTTAAGAGGATGCTATCATTATTATATATATATTAGGGGGAAAAAAAGTAGGAGGTCGACTTGCCCATAACTCCGCCACTGCTAGCATGTAATGTGAACTAAAATAATAATTTACGAAAAGAAAAGCATACATAAAACATAGTCCTTTATATGTAGTCATCGACTTCTTTTGGACATAAAAATTTCAGTGTGTCCAAGCTCACCACTTCTTTTTTCCTCGATAAAGAAATATCAAAGGTCAATTTCCATTTCCATCAACATCCCTGACCAGACCAACGACTATCGCCCTTTTATTCCCCTGGACCACTTGGCCCAACCCAGAACCCGAGCCCCGGTTCTCTATAACAGCGTCCAAAGCCCGTTTCAAAATCCCAACATCCTCCTCGCCACCGCTACCACTATCCCACCGCATCACCACCACACTCTTGGTCCGGCCAGCTACCGTCATCATCTCTCCCCACACTGCCCTGGCCCGAACCGACTTAATCGCCTGGGTCAAATCCCGGTTCAAACCCGGTCTGTCTTCACAACAAACACTTACTTTTATCATCTTCTCTTCATTATCACAGCAACTCAGTGTAGCCTCGTCTAATTCTCCTGGATATGGCCAATACTCTTCGGGCTCTGATCCGCCGCCACAGTTATTGCTATCCTGTCGTGCCACCTCAGCTGCCTTCTTTTTTAGGTCTCTCACATGATGCACTACTTGAGCTAGCAACGAGGCCTTGTCTGTCTGTGTTTATACACAAGATTACAAGAAAGAAAGAAATTAACGTAATATTATCAAATTATGATAATGTCTTACAGATTTTATTAAATTTACGTTTCAAGGTATTAGAAAGAGCGCCTTTTTTTTATAACCTTGGTGGGTTTGGGAAGGAGAGTACGGAGGGTGGAGAGATGGGCGTTGATACGCTGCCTTCGTCTCCTTTCTGTTTCTTTATGGCTCTTGCATGATGACTCGGTTGATTTTTTAGCTTCTGTTTTTGAAGCTGAGCTCGGGATCGATTCTCCACCGTCCATCACGTTGACTAAGCTGGGCTCTGGTACGAATCCATCTTGATTTAAATAGTAAAAGCTTTGAAAAGGATGCATCTCTTACGTACTAGCGCTAGAGTGTGTGAGTTAAACTGCTTGATGATACAGAAAGTAAGGTAAAGTAGTTTTTTTTTTTTTTAATCGAAAATGAGGTTTCGATTAGCAAGAAATTCGAGAAAACTTTAGGGTACGGGTAAAGCAGAGAGAGATGGTGTTTTGTGTGCATAAAAGGAAGAGAAAGAGAGGAAGAAGAAGAGAAAACAAGAAAAATGAAAGTTGAAAGTGGAACTTTAGAAATAGACTTCGAGTTTGGAAACTAAAAGGAGAGAGGAGAGGAGACAGTACTTTTTACAGCTGACTGTAATGTGGTAATATAATGCAAAGGGGCCGTTTATAGGTAAATCGTCGTCTTAGGAGTCAGGAGGGTAGAAGTGTGTGAACGTATGCCTTACATGGCTCTCTGGGTTTGAACGCGACGTTTCAGTACCCTCGTAACTTTTAATTAGAGAGGTAATCCCTATTGATATTTTTTTGTATTTAATTCATGGAAAGGGCCAGTAAAATCCGATTTTTGTGATTATCATAAGCTACTGCAGTTTCATCTTTTATAGGCTAGTATATTTATCTGTCCATCCTAATTAAAGTTTAATATGATAACTTTAGATTGAAAATTTTATAATTTAACCACTCGACTAGTTTCTTAAGACACTTTACAAAGTAAAGTTAGTGGTTTTTTTTTTTAATTGGTGGTATTAACTTACTTGGTGTTGTGATATACTTAGATGACACATGTCATTATACAATTTGTGGAGGGTCTCAATGAAGTCTACTTATATAAAACATTTGAAAATACAAGGATTCATTCGGATCATGGATAAAATTGTATCTCGTTAGACTATTTCTAAAAAATGTACCTAATAGTCTTATTTTAGATAATTGATCCGAATAACTTATCAAAATCTCATAAATTAGAAAGAATAGATCGAGCATTTTTCAATTGAGAGTAAACAACTAAGTTTAACACCATTTGAGCAGTGATAATTATGATGTTGTGACACCCTTTTGCAATGACTCTTGTAGTGATGGCAATTTGTCTCGCTCCGATCAACGCATAGATTCCTCGAGTTGATTGGAGAACCGAACGGAATGTCCCATTACGTATTAATTTTGAACGAGAGATGAAGCGGGAATAATATTTGCCCGTCTCATCCTGTTTGCTCAATTTGCCCCGCTCTATCTTTGAAATTATAATCATACCTTATATAAAATCTGTGACTATTAACTCTTAGGGTTTATTTTCTATATGAACTGTTATTTTATTTATTTTTTGTTATCATTTGAAATTTAATAATAAAATGAAGTAGAATGAGATGAAAATAAAAAATTAAACGGGACACTAGTGCCTTGCGAGAATCCCCATCCCTATTTGAAGCGGGAATGGTATGATAAATACCGCCCGTTCGGAGCATGAGGCAAGGCGGGAATGACCCATTGCCATTCCTAGACTCTTGTCAACATCAAATGCATCCGTCCTTAAATGGATAATAGAGACTCATAGCATGGAAGAAATAAAACATTTTAATCCCTCCCTCCATACAATTTGACAAAGTCATTGATTTTGTAAACAACAAAAGAATTAAGGTTTAAATTCTAAATCTCTAAACTTATAACCGAGTGTTTATTTATCTTTTAAATACTTGTCCTACCACGTAAAAGTATAGTTATACTACCATCTCTCTCAAAGTGTTATTTTAGCCATCAAAGGACGTTTATATCTATAAAATGGAACTTGTTTTCTAATATTTGAGTTAGTAAGCCCACAATCTAATTTCAAACTCATCTCGTTGCACTAATTGAGGAAAAAACTACCTTACACATTATCAACCGAAAGTTACCATCTCCTTAGTGGTGCCGTCTATGAGAAATCCTTCTAAAAACAAGTGTTTTAACTCTCCATATAATTTTCAAGTTATTTTCATGGCTGAAAGCCAAGAGACACTAAACTAAAATACCACAACAATTTTTGCTAGTCCGGATGCCCAACCAATTTTATCCAATCACAACAAGAAGTTTGGAGGTTAACAAATATGCTTATTTTTATGCAAAAGTATATAAGAATCCTTTTTACTCCATTGCTAGTACGGCAAACGCCATCACTAGTTCAACCACGAGAAGCAAAACATCCACTATCTCCTCGCCAAAACACATGTGGGCAACACCTTTTTGCGTAGCAAGTATGTTAACAAATACCTTTTTTTTGTGATTATAAAGAAAAATTATTAAGTACATCTAGAATTATATCCTTTCTATTACGTGAAACTAAAATCTATAGAAAATTAGTATTTTGAATCTTATATTTAAGTGAAATAAGAAAATAGAACTTTGGATTTCTTGGACCATTTTATGAGGAGAATAGATTGTTGAAAATTTTATAGTTATAGTCATAGCCAACCATTTCCTTAATCTCTATTTATTTTTTATTTTTAATTTTTTATCATTTATTGGTTAATGCCATTAGATTACATCAGGTTCGAATTCAAAATTTATTGGCAAAAAATACTAATATTAGTTTAAAAGGTTATTACCCTCGTCGATCTTTATATAATAAGTCGGTTTCTCAATCTTTCTTTTAAAAAAAAAAAATCTTTAATTTGTGCTTATATTTTAAGTTGGTTTCTAATATATTATTTTATTTAAAATTTTTGACTAAATTAAGCATGTGATTTGATGAAATTATCTTTATTATTTGGCACAAGTGATCTATATCTACTAATATGAAGATTAATTTATAAAGATTGACCCAAATTTTTGATAAAAAACATAGATTAGAAACAAATTTAAAATACAAAGACAAATTAGAGACTTTTTTTAAGGATAGATTGAAAAATTGGCTTATTATATAAGTACATGCGAGAGTATTGGTCCTAATTTAAATGCAATGCATTAAATTAAATCTTAAATCTTAATGAAACCGTACATGGGACTTGGCAATTTTCGCTTACCAAACTCTACGAAGTTCTTATTTCTCCATAAATTTCTTTAAATTAACACCTCCCCCTAACCTATTTAGGGATGATGATGAGTCGAGTATAAAATGAGTATCTGTTTTATCCATCCAAATTGTATACGGCATAACATGCATACCTAACAATATTAGAAAGTGGTACACCATTGCTAATCACAACCACGATAAGGATTCTTTCATTTTTGTTTTGTTTTGTTTTTTTTCCTCTCCTACCCACCCCCAACCTAAATATTAAACCTCGGCCAGTTCAATTATAATGGCATCACGTATATAATTATAGGGGTATGAGAGGGCGAAATTAGGCACATCAATGATTTTCAGCATATGAGCTTTTGCTATGCATGAGGCGAGCCAAACGAGGCTCTTTAGCCTCTTTTTCTTTGGTTAAAAGCTGGAAGGGAATCGAGAAAGCAATCGTGGCTCGACCCTCTTTAGCCACTTGATACATTTTTTCGATTTAATGGTAAATTTTATTTACATTCCATTATAATTTGATAATATTAGATTTATATTATCAAATTACGTAATTTGAATTTCAAAGTATTAGAGATTGGATAAATGTGATATAGATCGTCTAATTTTTATTATATGTAACGATCAATTGGATTGATTATTACTTGAAATATCATAACAAAATCGTTTTGATATTTTGCTATTAATTATGGTTTTTATAAAAAAAATTAAAAATATTTTTAGCCCTCCCAATCTTGAACTTTTTTTTAAAAAAAAATCCTATAAAATATTATAAATGTTTTATAAATGTTTTTAATCCCCGATTTTGAATTTTTTTTTATAAAATGTTATTGCAAAAAACATAATTAACAATAAACAATTTCGGACCTTAAACAATATTTATAAATTATAAGAAAAATTTATAAAATGTTTATAATATTTATAAAAAGTAGTTCAAAATTAGGAGGGTTAAAAATATTTATAAAACATAAGAAAAAAAGTTCAAAAAAATTCAAGATTAAAGGGTTATAAATATTTTTATTTTTTTTTAATAATTAATAGTGTAATTTTAAAACAACGTTGTTTTGATATTCTAAGTAACTCGTCAATTCAATTGACGATTACACATAATGAATATTAGGTAATTTGGATCATATTTGTACAATCACCAATACTTCGAGGTTCAAATAATCGATTTAGCATTATGGATATGAAATTATCAAATCGTAATAGAATATGGGCAAAATTTATCATTCCATTTTTCACTTTTGTTTTTCTTTCACACTCTCTCTCGCATTCACAACCCCGCTTTTATATATATATAAGTGTTTAATAGGTAAATTCTTTCATTTGAATGCTCAATTTTTTTATTTTTTAAAATGATCGGGATGGAAAAATGCTAATGTGTTTTAGATAAATTGTCATATGAAAGTTTTAATTAATGCATAATAGAAAATAAATCTTACTTGAATTATTTAGAAAAAATACAATTTAAATGCTTAATCTTTGATTATTTTTCTGTTTGAATGCTCAATGTTTGATTTTTTTTTAAGGTTTCTTACGTTATTTGGGATTGAAAAACATAGATGTGGTGCCAAAATTCACGAAGTAATGCTAAAAAAAAATCTCATTAAGTTTTATTATGAAAAAAATAAATTAAAATTTTATAAAGAAAAATAGTTGGTGACTATTAAAAGAAAATCAAAATCAATTACTCGTTAGTCAACTAAACTCGAATTGTTTAAATAATTTAAGGTTAAAACTCTTGAATAAGGCAAAATGAAATGTTTAAATAATGATACTTTGAAAGCGTTTTAAAAAATTGGTTAGCAAACTTGCCAAATTTATTATTCGACTAACAATAATTCGTTTTTATTTTATTTAATTATTTCTAGTTATTTTTTGTAATATTTTTATTTATTTCTCAATAAATTCAAGTGGGTCCATTTTTTATCCACATACTAGTTAAAAACTATTGTTTGTTAGCAACTCTTGACTATGTCAATATTTTTCAATCTTAGATGGCTAGAAGTTCTCACGTATTTTCAATTTTAGATGACTAGAAGTTCTTACATTAAAA